TTAACGGTGAAACGGTATGACGATACGTGAACGAAAAAAACGTGTGTGAAAGTGATGTCGCTGAGGTTGTAGAATTTTTTACTCCTTTTTTTTAAACGAAACGTTGGAGGGAAATAGGCTTGCGATCGATCTTTACAATTGCGTAAATTGCGCTTTGTGAATTCGTACGATCGGAATCGGGAGCATTAGCGCGACATAGATAATTTTATCGGCGAGGAATCTCGTGGAATTTCCTCCAATTTCGTGTCACGATCGAAAGCACGAATTATATATTTCCTTGATATAAAACGTCTATCAAACTTTACTTACCAACGAGAAATATTATCCGTGATAAGATCATTCACGATATTATTCGAATATTAATTTGATAAAATCGAGAAGGAAGTATCTGAAACGAAGGAAGACCGCGTCGGTGGATGATCGGCGGCAAAAGCGGGTCAAGGTGGGATAGCGAAGGAGGAAGATCCGAGGTGTAGGCGCTGATTCCCCCCACCCCGCCTGCCGGCTGGAAAAACAAATCGTCACGCGACGATCTTGGTATCGGGCCGCGTGATCGACGATCGGCGGGGGATCATCGGGCGTTTCGACTTTCTCGGAGTCATCGTCACGCGACGCTCACGGCGCGCTGTCAACGATCGAAACAGGAGGCGCGGAGACGTCGATCGAAGCCGTGATCGCCAGTCAATCGTGGAAAGCTGACCAGACTCATCCTGCCGTCCGCGCCACCGTCTTCTTACCTCTTCCACGTTTTCCATCGCGTCGCCCGATCATCGCGCGCTTCGCGATTCTCTTCTTTTCTTTTCTTCTTTTTTTTTCCTCCTCCCTCCTCCCCCCCCCCACCCGAATTTTTCGAAAGAATTCCCTCTTCGATCTTTTTTCCCCCCCTTCCTTTTCTCATTTCTTCTTCGCGCACGTCGGATGCGTACATGGATTCGAATCATCCCTTCGTCCCTTCGAGCGGTGCGTCAAGCTGGTGGATCTCCTCGTAGCGGCCGTTTTCATCCTCGATCTTCGCATCGATCGGTTGGAATACCTACCGATGCCGTTTAATTCTCGTTTCGAGCTCTATCACCTGTCTCTGTTCTGATCGGGGTTCGAATCGAGTTTCATCGATCGTAAAATCGATTTCTCTCTCTCTCTCGAAACGGAACGAAGACGCGCACAGACGTCGCGTGAACACGCGATCTTGGGTAGGTTGTACCACCTCCCCCGTCGATTCTCGGGGACGGAAGGGCGAGATATGGATATGGACATGAGCGGAAGGACGAACAGGTCGAGCGAGGAATTAGCGAAGAGGCGCGTCTCGATTAGCGATCAGATACTCGGCATGGATAATCCAACGTTCGAGCATAATCGGCGAATAAGCGCGAGCTCGGAGCATAACTCGGATCAGGGACGTGGCAAATCGATACTGCAGCACGGAGGGAGCAACTACGGGAGCTCGGAGAATATACCGCAGCACAAGTTCGATCTGGAGAACGGGAGGATCAATGGGAGCAGGAAGAAGTCCGCGTACAGCTTGACCAGCTCCATCAGGGACAAGATCGAGTACTCGGAGGAGTTGGAACGGTGAGAATTTTTCCTCCCCTCTCCCATTCTCGTTTCGCTTTGAAAAATGAAATTTCTCTCTTTCTCTCTCTCTCTGTAACCGACTTTTCTCTTCCTTTCTTTTCTTCTTTCTGGAAATCGAGAAAAAGATGAGTGTATAATTCGTACGAGAGTTGTGGATGGAACGATGTATTCTGTTTCTCGAGTTTTCATTATCATAATTCGTGATTTGTGAACATTTTTCGGGGTTGGAAAGATTTTTTTTTTTTTTTCTTTTTCCATGCGAGGAAAGGAGAATAATTTGTGACGATTGTAATTAGAACGATACGCGATGGTTATTCCTCTCTCTCGAGTTTTCGTTCTGGTTCGGTTTGTGAAATTTTTCGGGGATCTATAGGAGCTTGGAGCTTGAAAGGCTTTTTCTTTCTTTCTTTTTTTTTTTTTCGCGCCAGGAAAAGGAATTTTTGAGAATGATTCATTTTGAGACGTTGATAGTTGAAACGATATGGATCAATATTTGTTTATGTTGAGAATTATTGTTAAATGTGGTGAAGAATGGAATTTGTGAAATTTTTTTTCGAATTATTAATTATTTTTACTCTCGACTTTTTTTTTAAAAAAAAATCGGTAGAAAATTGTATCTTATTAAGCTTTGAATGAAGCTGTCAAAGAATTTCCTCCAATTTAAAATACTATTTTTGTTGGAGAGTAATCTTATTAGAACAAACGTATCGATAGTGCAAACACGCGAGAATTTAGTAAATTTGATCGCATTAAGCTTTTACGAGTGTTTGATTAAGCCAAGTTCACGGCTAGTAGAATAATGGAATGTTTTAATCGATATTTATCTTCGATAAATCTAACCGAGAAGAAATTACATTTTCGAACGATTAATTTTCTTCGAAAAGAACGGGAAATTTTTAATACTTTAATGTCGAATAGTTGGTGAAATATCGACGCATAACCACGAGATAAATTAAAACGACGCATAGACATTTCCCGCATAGAATTGATATACATTGCCCATAAACGTTTAACGCTTAAACGAGCGAATAACTTTCAAATATTCGACTAATCAATTCCATAACAACATATTTTCGTTAAATCATCCTGCGCGTCCTTCCATTAAAAAAAATCAATACCTCGCGAATCTCTGCTATTACGGCAAATAATAAAAGAAAAAAGAAAAAAAGAAAAAAAAAACAAGTATCGATATACGAGCAATATCACAATAACATTACAAAAACGCGAAAAATGAAACGATAAATCTCGTCGATACACCGACCAAGGTATTCATCGAGCATAAATTTCTAAAAAAAAAAAAAAAAAAAAAAATAAAATAAATATCGATAGAACGCATCGATCAATCACGCGTTGCACGCATCGCAATTATACGCATCGTCGCCATTTTTCTGCTTAATTTTTTTTTTTCTTTTTCCTTCCTTTTTCATTGTTTCCAATATCGTTGCGCACGACGACGACGGAACGAATGAATGAAAAGTATTCGAGGCAGGTGAATCCCTAATCGAGGGAATTGTAACGGATCTAGGAAGCGTAGTTGGTGATGTAACCGGTCGGTTACAAAGCCTGTCATTTCCAATCGCCTTGATAAGATCATAAAGTCTAATGAGATTGAATCAAGCGGTGCTCTAAGTTTCCTATAACGTCTGCTCGCGTGCACGCAAGGTATGCTGCTCTCCGTTAAAATCCTCTCCTCTCTCGAATAAGCGGCCACCTTTTTTGCTCGGGTTTTAATTTTAAAAGAGTCGTCGTGTCGGCGGCGATATCTCGATCGAATATCGCGTATAACCGGGATAAGGAGTGAAAACGCGGAGCGGGATGGAAAACAAGTTTGCGGGAAAACCGAAGGTCGAGTCGATGAGTTCTTTGTGGTGAGTGGATGTTTTATTTTGCGAAACGATGACGTTTTCTTTTCTCTCTCTCTCTCTTTTTTCTTTCCTCGTTTCAGCTGCGATGGAAATTGGATCGGTAATGTGCGTCCGTCTTCTTTTTGAAAAATTAATTTTTTCCTTCTTTTTTTTTTTTTTCTTGATACAATGATTTGCTAGATTGCGCGAATTGGTAAATCGAGCGATTTGAAAAGTTTGGAATATATTTGTAAAATTTGTATATTGGAATGGTGTAAAAGAAGTTTGTTTTTGGCTGTGATGGAAGTTGGATACGATTACTTTTTAAAAATTAATTTTTTTTTTTTTTTTGTTAATAAATTCTTGGGAGTTGTAATTGTAAAAATTGTTTATCCGAGGGAATGAAATTAGAGCACAAGTATGCGCAGAGCAAGTAGATTCTGGTTCCGAATGTATGTAATCTCTTAAAGAAACATGGAGTTTCGCGATGCTTAAATTTTTTTTTTTTTCTTTTTACAAAACATTAACGTTAACAGTCTAGACACAAACTTTTCGTCTTATCTCGTGATATATACACCGACTTTACTTTTTCACTTTCCACCCTTGTTTCTCTTTCTCTTTGCCCTGCAACCAGTTTTTACTTGAACCGCATAAATCTGTCTTTATTTCACCTTCTTTTTATCCGACTCTCTCTCTCTCTCTCTCTCTCTGATGTTTGTACACGTACACAAGGATAATATAAATAATTACAAGAGCTTTTCTTTTATTTTTTTTTTTTTTTGTATAAAAAATTATGAAAAAAGTTTAGACTGAATATTTCAGTGGATTTCTACCACTATGCATGTTGCATTGCAATAGTGGATTTTCCTGTTCGATTTTTGATATTACGAATATTACGGTTTTAGCTTTCTGCCGTATGGAATTGAGGGATTTTTATAAATTGAAAATTTTGTGATGAATACGTTATTCCACAGCGATGCGTATATCTTGTAACCAGAGTCGAGAAAATTCTTTGTTGTCTTTTGTTGTTGCCCGTTCTTTGAGTTGAAAAAACATTCGTGTATATACTCTGTGAAATGAAATATCATTGAAAATATTATTTCACGAAATATCCTCGAAAATCTTGGGAACAAACATTATTCCAGGCTACTTTTTCCTACCTACTTTTTATCATACTTCGTAAGATCGTATACTCCGACAAATATCAGACACTCAGAAATATTTCGATCGAAAAGAGAAAAATAGAATTGTGCGTAATTTCAATTTCTCCTCGAGCAATTTTCAATTTCCCTCCAGAAGTTCGTTCGGAAAAGTGTTCCGAGCGAAAACCAAAAAATAAGAAAACAGGAGAAAACGCGCAATCCCTCCATCCATGAAATATTATTTTCCATAAAACACGTACATTTTAGAAAACCTCGCTAAAAAGCACAATTCCATCCCGCTAAAATTATCGAAAAACCAAAAACCTAGTAAAAAAAAAAGTGGAAGTACGTTCACAGAAGAAAAGACGAGGAATATTTGGCGCGCAAATCCCCTTCGAAAGACCTTTTCTCAACAAAACCTTTCCCTTTCTTTTGCGCGCAGGTCGTGGTTGTATCTATTTTGCACGCGATGCCACGGTCGCGACGACACGCCTTCGTGGGAGCCGCCGGGTTGGAGGAAAGCGTGCCCCCAACCGTTTTGCCCGAGCTACAGAAAATTCGCCCGGCTGTTGTGCCTTTTCCTGCTAGGCCTGCTTCTCTGGGGCATCGTGTACACGATACTCGGCGAGGAGGCAGCCCCGGGCGGCCAGCTCTTCGGCCTCGCCACCCTCTGCATCGCGGCTCACTTCGGGGGATGGCTCTTCTCCTTGACCACCCTCCCCGCCCTGATCGGCATGCTGATCACGGGGATCGTGATGCAGAACATCGGCATGGTGAGCATCGACCGAAACTACGGCATCGTCGTCTCCAATTTTCGGTGAGTTGCCTCTGATTGCTCTTCGTCTTGTTGTGTTATCTTTTCTTCTTTCGTATGGGATTTTTTTTATCACGGAATTTCTCGAACGCCGCGTCTCGAAGTAATAATAGTATCGCGCCGCCATTGTAATCACGCTCTGACTCACGAAATAATACCATTGCAAACTATATACGGTTAAATCGTGTTCAACGATCAATTGATGTCTATTCCTGGAGACGTCGTCTCGAGACGTATTAAAAAAAAAAAGAGAAAAGTTTCACCGAGTTTTTTCTCTTTCTGTCGAGAAACGATTCGAAATTGTACGATTTGTTGTTCTTTACATTTTTTAACAATCGAATTGAAATTGAGGAGAAAGAGAGGTTACTCTGTCCGTAAGTACAATGTATTGCTTGTATTTCTGTATTTTAGATTTCGAGATTGGTGGAGAAATAATTACGTCTGTTGATTTAAAAAGGGAAAGAAAAATAATAGGAAATTACAGTTTCCAATTATATTTTCTTCTTGGTTTCGCACCTTGGATAAAGATTAAAAGAGAGAAGGAAAAAAGATGAAACGTTGGGATCGCGAACGAGAGGGGGAATCGGATCGAAAACGAAACGTTGGAATTTACAAGTGGCAGAGACGGAATGTTTGTACTTGGTTGAACGATCGTTGACCCAACCGAGCTAAGGGGTTAATTATTACGCTGTTGCGCGTGACTACAGTTAGACTTAACTGGGCACGTGATTAAAATCATGTGCTGTTACGCACACATTACTTCTTCGGCTGAATTTGTAAATGGAACTCCATCATTTCGTAATTGAAATTTATTCCGCCGCCGTCATGTGATAATATTTACGCTCCTTACGCTCGTGTGCGTGTGTTCGTTTCACAGGGGATCGATTATCAACGCGATTATTCACCGTGTCGGAAGTGTCGTGTCGCGTTCGGCTGATATAAAAAAGCGGTATCGCTCGTTGTAACGATGCGCGTTTTCTCTCAAAACTTGCCAACCACTGAAATTACCGCCATATTTTCAAATTTCCCGCGCTTTCATTTTTTTTTTTGTTCGCTCCCATTTCGTACAACAGTCTCAAATTTTTACAAATCTCTTGGAAAAACTCCGTTCCATCTCCATTTCCAAATTCGCGCCTCGTTTCCGAATAACTCGATCTGCCTTCCAACCAAGAATCTCTCCCCCAGTTGGGAATCGATTCCTTAATCGCGAATCCTTAAAAATTTACCCGAGGCCCAAAGATGCCACTCGACGCAATGAACGGTCGATATTGGCTCGTCGCCTCCCCTTCCTCTCTGATTTTTATCGCTATTTACACGGGGAAAGGAGCTCGTCTCGCGATTCAACGAGGCATAAGAAATTTCATAAGCCGTTTTCGGCCGTGTACCGATCGAAAAACAAAAGCGAAACGAAATTTCTCCACGTGAAATTCCGCATTTCGAGATTACAGATATAATAGAGAGATTTTTTTCCCCTCGTCAGCTGTTTCGCGCACGATTGATACATCGCCCCGGAACGATGTATCGAAGTTTTAAATCAAATCCACTTCTCTCTCTCTCTCTCTTCTTTTTTCATCCTTTCTTTTTCGCTCGATGAACGTGGCCAACCGTCGAGAATTTTCGTGCGATTCTCTCTCTCTCTCTCTCTCTTTCTCTCCTGTTTGTAGTATATAAATGGTTGTACAGATTTTGAGGTTGAAACGTTTGGTCAAACTGGAGAAAAAGAGAGAGAGAAATCGAAAATCGAAGCTATACGAAATATAGCATATGGCAGGAAAATATTTGCGAATATCTCTTTTTCCTTTCTCTTGGAAATTTGAAACGCTTTGCAATCAAGAGCAAGACACTTTTCGATCGAATAGTGAAGAAGAATTAATTCGTGTTATCCGTATGGACAACAATTTTTGGATATAATACGAGCTATTTCTCATCTACCTTAGTAGAGTGTATAAAGGGTTTACGCAAAGTGTTCCCGTGGGGAGTATTCAAGCGCACGTAGGCCAGAGCATTAGGCTAAAACGGTTCTAACGGCCATCGCCCATTGTTGCTAAAGACCCCGCTATCGATCTTATCGGACGCCGGTCGAATTATTAATCCTCGAATTTTCGTTCACCGCAAGATTGGAACGGCCTCTCTCTCTTTCGTGATCGATAGAGCAAGTAACTCGGATTATGACATTTGCAGCGATTGCGCGAGGATCGTTTATGCGTTTCGATTGGCGCGTGCACAGCGTGCGAAACGAGGAGTAGAAAGTGGCTCGAAAACGCGTGGAACGATGGACGACGCCAAGGTGGCCCCCTTTTTTATCGTGGGAGGAAGGCCAATGCGCGTACCAGCATACCAATCTCGATCGCCTTTAACCCTTTAACTGCGGCTGCTTTTAGCTCTGAAAAAAGAATTCTTTTCACCAAAATGAAACTGTAACAGATTCTCTTAGGCTGTTCACGATAATTGTCACAAGCCGTTTGCCAAGATATATTGTTTGTAAACCAGTTAACGATTTCTTCCCGAATTCCCGTATAAAATTCTTGGAGAAACTCGTAGACTTTCGTATTCCGGCGAGTTAGCTGGCGAGTCGATGAACAAGACGAGAGCGTGCGAGATCTCTACAACTAGAGATATATTAGTTATCATCTTCGATTTCCAAGGTATTCTTCCAAGTCGATCCAACTTCGTTCGCAAAACGAGTCGAAACGATATTTCGCTCGGACAGAGTGAGATACGTGGCAGAAATTTTCCAACGAGAGATTACAAGTTTCCAACGAGAAGGAAATTTTTAAAGAGTAATAATAAAGCCTCCTTTATCCCCGTTTGAATTTGCGGTTAAAGCGACGCTCGGGCCTAATAAAGGACACCCATACAATAATAAGCGGAGCAATTATTACATAAACTCGACAGGCCGTTCAAGTACCTCCATTATTGTGAAAAATTTTCCACTGGACGTGGAAACGCGACAACAATTCGCGCCAACTCGCCTCTGTTCCAGTTTCCACGCGACACGTCACTGCCGACTATTCGCTCGTCACCCTCGATATAATAACACCGATGTTGGGCGTCCAATAACGCCCAGGGATACCTGGCCAACCGTGCCTTCAATCGTTGCGAAATGTATGTACGAATGACAGGCGAAACGATCTTAACTCTCGAATCGAAATAGTTCATTTATTATTATGGTGTACTAATCTTTCGTGGAATGCGTTTTACACGGTCGAAGAGGGGAATGGTGTGCAATCGTAGGAACTGATAGTGTAATGGAGGAGATAGTGGATGTAATAGTGCGATAGAATGGTGTACAATTAATAGTTTTGTGAAAAATTCTGATAGAGCAGATAGTGGTATAATAGAATGGTATGGTAATAATATGCAATTAGTTTTGAAATATTTCGATAGCGCAATAAAGTAGATAATGAAGATAGTGTAATAATAAAATGGTATGGTATAATGCTGTGCGATTAATAGCTCTCTGAAAAATTCTGATAGAGCGAATAATGGATAGAATGGTATGGCAATACCGTGCAATTAATAGTTTTCTTAAAAAATTTTGATACCACGATAAAGAGATAATAGAGATAGATGTAACAAAATGGTAAAATTCTGATCGGTTATGCGATTAATGATTTTTTGGAAAATTGTGCAGAATGCGTTGCACAATTTGAAAAGAAAACGAGTGTCAGTCAGAGTGGAGCGTGTTAACACAGCTCGTGTACAGCGGGCGAATTGTTAGGGATTTGAGAAAATAAGGGTCAGAAATCTCGGTTAAGGTTGCTCAGATATATGTACATAGCTTTGGGCTCGATCTCCATTGAGAAATGCGAAGTGTTGTTGCATGCGATCCTAGATGTCACGCCATCAATCGATGCCGCTCGCTACTCGAGGCTTTAATTTAGAACCTCGCTCTATCATGGATAAACCTCGTGTCGATAAATCTGTTCCAACATCCAAGAATCTCCCCTTTTCTTCTTTTTCTTTTCCTTTTTTTTTCTTTTTGTATTTGCAAAATTAACGCGTTCCGTTATGAATGAACAAAACGCGGCTTCTCGAAATAACTTATTCGGGATAAATAGATTGGAAATAATCGCACTCGAGAGTTTCTTTAATTCGATCTCTCGTGATCTTCCCTCGTTATTGTCCCTCCAACTTTGCGGAAATTGACGTTACGCAGGCTGCGTCCTGAGAGGGGGAGGATTCGAAGATGAAGAATGTTGTTTAATATTCCGGTCAGGATGTTTATGGATTTAGCGGGCTTTATCGGGTATAAAATATAGAAGTAGTCGGGTCGCTCGTAAAGTTGGGCGCAAAGTTGGAGGGAAATTCACAGGCGATACCTTTACGTAGAATTATCACTCCGTTGGAGTGCTAACGCATGCAACGTTTGTTTCGACGATTGAATTTTCCCAGCTACTTCTAATCTACTTTCCTCGCCACGTCTTTCGCGAATATTCAATTTTTCTTTTTTTTTTTTTTTCCCTCCGTAACATAAGTTTTTTCACCAAAAGAATACATCACGAAGATCGACAATTTCAAAAATCGATTTTTTTCGTCGATATACGTACGAGATTTGAATTTTTTGTAAATGTAATTTTTTTCTCTCAATCGTGATTGTTTAGTAAAAAAAAAAAAAAGGGAAAAAAGAAAAATAGGAAAATTACTCAGACATTGAAAATCGAACGTAGCGGTAATAGTTTGTGTAAAATACGAACGAGATAAATTCGACATTGTACGCGCAAGGCCTAGTCGCTCGAATGAGGTTGATAATTATCCGTTGCGCAATTTACTACCGACAAATTCTCGAATATAGAATAACATAGGTATTGAACGTGATATAAATTACACGTGCAAATAAAATCTTATATAAATATTATTAATTAATTCGTGCTATAAAATTATATTGCAACGAGCGATATATAACCTCGTTATATACGTATTCAAAATTGATATCGAATAATATTAATCAAATTTCGCATAAATTTCCCGCGGCCTTGCTTCTCTCCTTAATTTATATTTTT